CCCCCCCCCCGCACTACCACCCCGTCTGCGGCACCCAGCGTTCTTTGCTGCAGTGGGGCAAGGACACCCGAAAACATCGTTCGCAGATCATGTATGATGCCGACCGAGCCGAGCCGAGTTTTAGTATTTGCGGCTCCTAAATGCTCGATCCTGAAAAATTTTTGTATTTTAGTTACCTCTTTATCTGCTTCCTTCATTTCACCTAGAAAAGATACAAAACATCCCAATTTAGCTTGTTACCTGTGGTTACTGTGGTTTTTATTTGAGCGGTGGTAGCAGATGTAATATTTTCGGAATTTTTTGTGATGAATGGTTTCCTCGTCCGCAGTGGGCGAATAGTTCTTGGACGTGATGTTATCCTGGTCCCAGTTGTTTCAAAGTTCCTCGTAGGGGCTGTTGAATCGGTCGTGGCGATCGTTTTTCCCTCAGTAAATGGAACAGTCGTCGATGAGGCTATCTTCGTTTGTTGTTCGCAGTGATAAAGTTTATTAATTTTCTTGGTATCGATCACACTGAGCCTGTATCGCTGCCCGATTTCCACACTTCGATTCTGAATGTGATGGACAACAAAGTGGATGGCATTTTACAGCATTACTGGAACAATTCACAAAGCTGCAAATTTCGATTACCGCTTTATCGAGTCCTCAACACCATTTTTATGCGTTTTCGCTATAGCGCTGCTAAAGTCGGCAGAAACGCATATTGTCGAGAGGTCGTCTATGTATGTATATGTGTTCGAAAGTGAGTGGACTTTGTCACCCACCTTCATCTCAGCAATCAGGGAAGCTGGGAGACTGAGATTTTAGGTATATGTTCCTACCCCGTGTGTCATCCTCCCGTTTTAAAATTTTTGCTCATACGCGCCTGGACCCCGCGTACGTGCCCTCGAAAAAAATATGCAGATTTCTTTGGTGAGGAACAACTTCGCGAACCAGGCAAGTAACAAAACTAAAGCTTTGCAGAAATATTCTCTGTGCATGTGCGAGCTAAGGATTTCAAATTCAGCTTTCGCGCACGCTTGTGCAGCGCATACAATCACGTAAAAGTTTGCAAATGGGTGCCGTGCTAACTTGAAAACTTGCCGGAAAAAAATGGCTGAAATTTTGCCGGCATTTTTACCGCCCATATGGGAAATCGTATACCTAAATTGAGTTCCATTTGCACTTGCGCCACGACTTAGGGCACTTTAGAGATATTTGTGGCGATATTTCGTTTACCGGATAAGTTGAGAGGCTGAAACTTCGCTCGGATATTTTACTTTCATGCATGGTCGTAATTCTGCTTGGAGGCGAAATTCCCTGCAGATGTTTGGGAGGAATTCTCAACTTTACCGCAAGCTCTGAAATGAGTGCATTTTGCAGCGAACGACCACCGTCATCCTCTCCCAACATGTAAAGGGATTCATTTACATATTTAGATTTTTTGACGAACGACCGCTGTAGCAACATTCCCACTTTTTAGTGAATTTGAGCATTTACCAGAAGAACGACCAGGCTTCATGCAAGCCTAGATTGGGATGCACCAGGCTTGCCGGTGCGATCATGCGTTTTTGCACTAAACTCGCAGGTCGCTAATAGCAGGAATAATCCCTGCACTGTAGTCTAGCACTTAGGCTCATATTGGTCGTGCTTTGGCCCTTTCCGGCGCACAGGAGGAAGGGCATCGGTTGGGATAAAGGTGGTGCATTATAGAGCCCCACATGATTACCAGTTTTTTGCATGAAGCTCGGTTGTTTTTTTGGTAAACGCTCGTTTTTTGAAAAAATGAAAAATGCAAATTTTTTGAAAAAATGCAGATTTCCAGTTCGCTAAAAAGTGGAAGTATTGCTCAGACGGCGGTTTGACAAGAAATCCAAGTATGCAAATGAACTAATGTTCATTTACATATTTGGATGAGGTGGTTTTTCGCTGCAAAACGCACTCGTTTCTGATTTTCCAGTAAAGTTTAGAATTTCTCATGCCCACCTGCAGGGAATTTCATCTCCAAGCAACATTAAGACCGCAGTTGAAAGTAGAATGTCCCAGCGAATTTTCAGTCTCGCAGCCTTTCCGGTAGGCGAAATATCCCCTTCGCTACAAATATTTTCGAAGTGCCCTATGTCTTGGCGCAAGTGCAAGTCGGTACTTATTTTAGGTACACGATTTCCCATGTGGGCGACAAACATGCTGACAGAATTTCAGCCACTGTTTTTCAGCAAGTTTTCGAGTTAGCACAGTACCAATTTGCAAAATGACGTGATCGTACCCGCTTCACACGCGTGCGCGACAGCTGAATTTGAAATTTTTAGCTCGCACATGCACAGAGAATATCCCTGCAAAGTTCCAGCTTTGCACCTTGCCTGGTTCGCGAGATCGTTTCCCGGCAATGAACTTTACATATTTTCTCGGGGTCCGTACGCGCGGTCTAGATGCGTTTGGGAGATCTTGAAACAGGAGGGTGATACACGGGGTAGGGACATATACTCAAAGTTTCAGCCTCCCAGTTGCTGAGATGAAACTGGGTGGAAAATGCACTCGCTTCTGAACACACACACACACACACACAGAGCCTCTCGGCAGTATGCGTTTTTGCTGGCTGCAGCAGCGCTACAGCGCTGCATAGCAAAAACGTAACAAATTATTTACCTGGAAGTCCACGCTGTCCTATAATGCAACACCTTCATCCCAACCGACGTCCTTCTGCGTGCTAGAAGAAGCCAGAGCATGGCCAGTATGATTTCAATTGTCAGACTACAGCGCAGGGATCATTCCTGCTATTAGCAATCTGTGAGTTTAGTGCAAAAACGCGTGATCGCACCAGCAAGCCTGGTGCGTTCCAACCTGGGTTAAGATTCCATGCTAAATCCTGAGAGGTAAAAACTTGCTTGCAATAATGAGTCGCTCACCTTTGGCAAAATTGTGGATTTCCCATTCCTTGAGAATGCAAGTCTATGGTAATGCATGACAGAATCGTAATCGTACGGCATCCCCAGCGAATCGATAACTTTTCTTGAATATTTCTCGAAATTTCGTAACATTCCTGTAATCTATTACTGCCGGAGCTTGTTGTGAAGGAATTTGAATCCCACTTTTTCATAACATATCCAGAAGCTTCTGACCCTTGTTTCTACATTCATTTATCAGGGCTTTTTACATGTCAGTGCACATTCTTCCACAAGACATGCCCGTCACCAGATTTTACTCAAACACATATTTTGGAGTCATCCAGTGCGTTAGAAGTCCCACCTTCAGCGATTATCAGCTGTAGGAATTCAACGAGTGAAGAAGCACAGATTCGATTCGGCCACGAAGTTCTGAGTCGAGAAATAAACGTCTGGTGCAATTATGTGTTTTTTGCATTTCTGTCAAGTGGCTTGCTGTGTTCACTGCTCTGCTGCTTAATACGTGCACGAATTGTAGGAGTGTTCTGGCCAGCCAAAACTTTCATGTATGTAAGACCTAGCCGCACACAGAAGCTAAATCTAAAATTTTCACAGTTGCACATGGGCAGAAAATTTCAGCTTTCTGTCTTTTCTGGTTCCGAAGTTGGAAAATTTTCCGCCGTAATATCCACGTATGCATACTTATGACTTATAAGTATCTAAAAGCCAAGTCTAGAATACCCGATGATGCGCATGAGCACATAACGTCCTCCTAAAATTTTAGCCTTCTAACTTTTCTGATTCACATGTTAGCAGATTTCCCTAACAAAACTTTTGCGTGACCATACGTAGACCTGAGTGTACATGAAAGCTAAATTTGAAGTATTTGCATTGCACGTGGGCGTAGGATATCTTTTTAAAATTACAAACTCCTAACTTTTCTTGTTCCCGCATTAGCGATTTTCGCATCAAAACTTTCACATATCCTTACGTGAAGTTTGGGTGTACGTGGAAGCTGAATTTAGATTAGCGAAACCACCCTAAAATTTCATCTTCATAGATTCTCTGCTTTTCAGTTGAAAAGCCAGGACAAAATACTCTCGGACACATACACACGCAGACACACAAACATATACATATATACGCATAAAAACTGTTGCAGCACAAAACGCATAAAAACAGATCCAGCTCAGGAATGCGACGTCCCTTCCCGTTCCACTGTGTTACTATTTCTGCTGTATGTACACATGCTAAAAAGTTGGCAATGTCCTGTTGAGACATGGAACAATATGCGCCAGGGTGCTAGCAGATTGAAATTGTAACAAATCCCCAATGGAGTAATATGGATTTGGCTTGGTGGCCTTCCAGCTTTTCTGGTTACCGAACTAGCAATTTTCCCACCAAATACGTGCGCGTACTTGAAAACCACGAACACGCAGGGTCTAAATTTGAAATCTTTAGCTCACACATGTGGGAAAATATCCGTGTAAAGTTCCAGTCCTCTATCTTGTTTGGTTCTCGAGATCGCTTTCCCGCAAAAAATTTGCATATTTTTTTAAGGCGTTCGTACGTGGGGCTCAGGTGTGTGCGGACGATAATATTAAAACAGGAGGGTCGCACGGGTGGTGGATGCTCCGAGGTTTCAACTTCCTGGCTTTTCTGGCTCACCATTTGAGAGATAGTGACAAAAAGGCGAACACACACATATATACATACACACTCACGCACAGCTTCTTGCCAGTATGCATTTTTGCATTTGCATATATGCAAAAACGTATAAGAAAGGAAGGTCGCGAGTGCGACGGAAAGATCCCTCGAACGGCATTGTGTCGAGAGGACAAGTCTGTGTCAGTGACGAGACGAAACACGACGATGGAACAACTGATTAAGGCATCAGAATAATTAAAATATAACGAAGTGCAATAGCAGTAATTGCTAAAGTACCTGCCACAGTTTAAGCATTCGTAAAAACGGTAACTAAAGCGTGTTATTAGCTAAGAGGGAAAGGACGAATTTAAGTTTAGGTCTAAGTGTACCGAGTACCGGGTCGAATGTTGTCCCCGATGATATCCACGTAGTGATCTCGATCGGTGCGCGAATGTTCATGAAAAAATCCAATTGTATGCATCAGTTCGTGCGCAATAATTCCCTTTGCAAAGCATTTATCTACCTCCAAGGAAACTGTTTGATTGCCTCCAGCTCGACCAACATATGACGAACATCTGAAATATTCCAGTCGTTCTGCATACTAAAAAATTATCTAATGAAATGGTCGATTCTGTAGACAACTAATTTGTCGATCGGGATTTAGCATTTCTTGGCCACAGCACGCTCAAAGTGCTTCTTTTTATTTTCAGGTGATTTTGCATCACTGAGGCGCATTAAGGCTAGGTCAAGTCCGTAACTTTTGCTTATATCTGCACTGGGGCTTAGACTTCAGTTGCTTCGGTCTGTGCTTACACTTGTACCTGGGCATAGGCTCGAATTATACTTTGACTCAAGCCCCAAGTCTGGGCCAAGATCCAGGCCAAGTGTTGATTTATGCCTATATTCAGGCTTCGACTTCGAATTGGGCTTAAATTTCAGCTTGGACACTTGCACTCAGAAGCTCAGATTTTCACCTAGACTCGGTCTTTTACATTTGCTCAGTCATCCATTTTAGATCTACAGTATGGCTTGTACTTCAACTTATTCTTGCAGAAAGATTGTGTATCAAACTAGCTTCACAGATAGTCTTTGATTTTAGGTGACGTCCACAATTAAGGGACGAACAACACTTATGCAGCAAACAAACAAAACACTTAGATTAAGGTCGAATCAAGTGTTCAGCTTAAGCTTAAACTTTGGCCTTTTGGGGCACATACTTTAGACTCGGTCCAAATGCAGGCTGATGCTAAAGCTTTTGAATTAAAGAAGCCACAAATCTGATTTTTTGCTGATTTTGGTAACGAAATCCTGTTTGTGCACTAGTAACAGCTTGTTGCAAAAACGCATAACTACAACGGTTTCCTAGCAAATACCGTTGCCAACTTTTGTCGCTCTTTTTGTTTTCGCGTATAAAACGGTAGATGGGGAAACAAATTATGTGTAAAAAATTCTTGTTTTGCTCAGGTGAACACGGGCTTGCCGGTAAAAGATGTTTCCTTACCGAACGTGATTTTCAGAGAGGTCCGTTTTTTCCTGAACAAACCTGGAATTTCCATCCTTATCTCCTCCTCTCCTTCCCCTCCCTCCTCCCCCTTTTTCTCTACCCTTCCCCCCCTCCCCCTCTTCCTCCACCTTTCCTCTTCTCCTGGTGGCAGAACGGGTCAACTAAAACTCTGAAAAAGTGCAGTTTCGAACGTAATGTCTTCCGACCAGTTATGGTGCGTTCATCAGTTCATCATGCCTTTCTCCGGCACTGTCAAGGTGAATTTTACATTTCTCCAATTTCTAACGACTGTGAAAGGGAGAAAGAGGGTGTAAGTGAATTTTTCAGAGATACCACTGAAAGTGGACAAAAACGAGCAGTTTGTTGACAGGATCAGGACCAGAGAACTAATAACGGCTGCAGTGCGGAAAAAAGGTGTTCGCAGGATGAGTAAAACAGTAAAAGCAGTAGCAGCATTAGAACCGATAAAACAAACCCGAATGCTGTGTTTCTCTTAATGTATATGTAGTCAGGATCGGCATCATCCTTGGGCACAAATCGTACGCACGTTTTGTCTCTGTATTCATCGAAAGCTTGAGCGATAGCTGCCCTTTGCCTGTAAGAACTTGTGCCCGACTACTGAATTACGCATTGTTTTGGATTGATTTCGTTTGATGCGGACCGGCGAGAAGTCTGCTAGAACTCGCGAATGTACCTTATCTATACGTCGCATTGTTCGTTTCTGAATCATCGCACGCTGAGCCACTTTTGTGGGTTTTCAAAAGCACTGAGACCTGAGAAAACTGGGACTAAACCGGTAAAACCTACCTTCAGAGAGATTGTCAACTATTCAAAAGTCTACACATGCGGTAAATTTTTTGAGCAAAGGCTGAGACAGTTTGTTTCAGAGGAATCACTCACTAGCAAATTGGCGACAATAGAGAAAACAATGCCTCAGGATGAGAAGGGAAGTTTGTCTTGAGTGGTGAAACTTAAACTCACATCTGGGTCATTCCATCTTCGAGCACGTATGGTACCCTTCCTTTTGGCCATAGCTTGTCTTTGTATGTTGCCAAGTTTAATGCACTGTTGTACTGTAAAAAATCAGGTTAAAAGAATACTTTTTAGATTTCACCACTGTTCAGTTACATAGTCAAACGGTGCAAGCAAAAAGAACGGGTGACCGTTCTCTCGTTTTGCTTAGAAGTGTCAAAACAGTCGAGCTGGGGTAGAAGTGCAAAAAACCAGGTGAAAGAGCGCGAAATTCAGTGCGAGAGGAAATGCCAGAACCAGTGCTAATTTGCGTTAAAAGCATAAACTGTTCTAAAATGTAATACAGTAAAGTTAAAGTCAAAAGTCAAAATCCCCTTCCTATTCGCTGTCTGTAAGAGGCAGACGTGGTCGTTATTTCGAGGATAATAACTGCCTAAAGCAACCACCTGCTAGCAAGGGTGCCGATGACTCCTTCATTCAGGAGCTACTTACAGGCAAGCAAATGGCGGGGTTGACTTCCTAGCAGCCAGTACTAATAAATAAAATAGGCGAAACAATGAGCAAGAAAGGCGCCCTGTGAAGGCAAAAGATTCTTTTTGTAATTCCATTAACATCCATGTCTTCAGACAAGAGACAGGACACACTCTAAACTCTGCGCCTCAGGCCAGAACATCTACCCTAGTCCAGAACTGCATTTCACCTGCTTCTGTTCGATGGCTTCTGCGCTTTTAGTCTAGCATTTCTGAGCAATACCTAGGATTGTTGGACTTCGTTTTTTTTTTTTTTTTTTTTTTT